TGGTTAATCATGATTGTCCTTTGATGAATCCATGCTGACTAGTCCTGATGACCTTGTCTTCCCTTTGCCTAGAGATGGCATCCAGGATCAGCCTTTCCATTGCCTTTCAGGGTTTGAGGTGAGGCTGACCAGCCGGTGGTTCCCTGTGTGCTCCTTGTCCTTTTTGAAGACTGGTGTGACATTTGCCCTCTCCCAGCTCTCAGGCATCTCTCCTGACTGCCATGATCTTTGAAAGATGATCGAGCGATGATCTCTGGCAGTTCCTCACTACTTGTGGCTGCATCCCATCAGAGTCCATGGACTTGTGGATGTCAAATTTGACTAAACGGTCTCTAACCCTATCCTCCTTTGCTGAGGAGTCTTTCTTTCTCCAGAAGTTCTCCCTGCTTTCCTGGGTCAAGGATTCTTGAGGGCTGGATTTGGAAGCAAAACTGCAAAGAAGATTTTGCAGTATCTCAGCCACCTCTGCAACCCCTTGCAAGGCTCCTTTTTCCATGAAGTAGCAGCCCCTTATTTTCCCTCATATTCCTTTTGCTAGTGAGGTATTCATGTTGTCCCAGAGGCACTCCCACCATTCTGATGGACTCAGCCCTGGCCAATGGCAGGTCCTTCTTGGAGCCCATTGCCCTTGGTTCAGTCAGGCACAGGAGAAGCCTCTGCCAGAGCCCCTGTAGCCCACCACTGCCAAAACTTTGCCATGCAAACCCAATACACTGTGCCAACTGAAATCTGTGTCTTCTAACAGTAGATGGCATCCAGCCTCTTAGGAGCAGACAGGTCCCAGATAAGCAGCCCATGACTACATCATGGAGACATACATGGATTTTCCCAGAGTAAGGATCAGACCAGGTTCCAAGTTAGAAATGAAGTCTGGGTCACCTGATGCCTATTGCACTGCCCCATTCACCAGCCTGTTCCGCTGCCTAGGCTGGTTGCTGGTGTGCTCATAAAAACTGCAGCAGTCTGAAGTGGAGGATTCTCTCCACTTTTAGCCATTAGGAAACAAGCACATTTTTTAGTTCATAATATGCTCAATTGCCTTTAGATTGATCTGTGAATAAATTATAATCAAAACAGACTTACTCACCTTAAAGCTCTCTGGCTTAAGGTTTCATTGTTGATTCATTAAGTTGTCAGTTCTCTATTGGCAGGGTAATGCCTTTTTGTATCTAAATAGAGACAGGTTTAGTGGAAGATACCGTTATCTTTAAATGAGCAGGATTTAGGTTTTTTGGTAAGAATTAATTAATCAATGATGAATCACTGGAAAAAGTACTGAAACAAATATCACAATGTTGCTGAAGATATATACAGTTCATCAGTTAAAAGGCAGCTTTTGGAAGCAGAGGTGGGGGAGGATTTGGATTTTTGTTTTTTTTCTGTAAAATACTCTAGCAAAATATTTCAAGCTTAAAGTTTTGTGATAATGCAATTATAAAGAATGAAATAATTCCACTTAATGTATTTATTTAGACTACATTCTTGATGTTACAACACAGAAACACATTGAATTATGTCTATATAGAGACAGATGGATACAAATAATGCAGCTATAGACATCACTGATACAGATATATAAGTAGACAAGAATTATCTAATTACTCTGTTTGTTGCAATCTTCTAAGCACTTGCTATGCTCCACATATTCATATTAATTGTTTTGTCTAGGCAGATGTTGGTCTGACAAAGATACCAGTGTATGGAGAGTTTAGTGACACTGGAATATCTGGAAATTAAAAAAATAAAACTACTATATAAAGATTTCAAAAGGAAACAGAGTTAAACACACCAAGCTCTGTGCTTGTGCTTTCATTGGGAATTTTGTTGTTAAATCCCCCATGTGCTCAGGAAGTTGTCCCCTACAATGATTAAAGGCAATTTAATTTTAAAATCTCTTCAATATCCATCTCTTCTGCAGTTATTTCAACATTCTTCACCTTTGATATATCCAGTAACACACTTCATTAAAATATTTTTTGCCATTTCATATGGCCTTTGACTGCAAAATGTTTGAAACCGCAGCTCTGAACAATAAGCAGTCTCCTCAACATTCCATATGTCTGAGCATTACTCATAAGGGGAACCATCAATAAGTCCTTCCTAAGCTCCCGAGGCTACATTTTCATGTATTATTTATTACTATAGAAAAGATTGCTGGTTTTCAGTGTTGTTTAATGAAATTTGGCCTGGCTGCTTGTGAACTGCTAGACCCCAAACACAAAATAACCAGGCCATTTGTAAGGGCACACAGTCACCTTCTGAGAAGTCACTGGAAGCTCACTGTGTATGTGCCCAAGCCTGGACCAAGACCTACATGTTTCCTTAATTATTTTAAATTCCATTTAGCCAAATTATTGATTGAAAAACAGCACTGCACAGCAAATATGAAGGTTGGAGGACAGTTTTGCAGATTAATCATAATTTATGTTTAAAATATGTGGATTGTATGGTTTAATTTACCTGCATGCATGTCATTACAAAACATCTGAATTATGGAAATGAAGGCATTGCACACTTCTCAAAATGCCCTCTGTACATTCCAGCTAGCAGCTATGTTAGATATAAAAATCTAAATACTTCCATCTCACAACTATGAAAATTAATTGACCTTTGTAATTCACTTTTCACCTATTCACAAAAATATATTATTTTTCTACAGTTTTCTTTAGATCACCTATTTAATTTCAGTATTTTTAGTGTTTATGTCTGTAGAGATTTGGCGTATATTAAGAGAACAGAAAAGTAAAGGATTTATTGTGCAAGGATTTGGCTGTTGTTCCCAACGATGATCTTCAATCAGTCAAGCCATGAACAACTGTCTCCTCTCTCTACTACTTCAGTTAAAACCTCAGCAAAATTAGCTTTGCTACCTACTCTCAAAGTCAGCAATTCAATTCCTGGCCAGACAGGAAAGAATCCAAAAACGCTTTGTCATCAGGACTCCTGCCCTCTCAAACCAAAGTTGTTGGCATCAGCACATAAATTATGGAGAGGAAATAGTTCCTTAGTGACACAGCTACTACTTATTCATAGCCAAAAATATATTTATAATTGATTCAGCATAGGAGACATACAATAACTCTTTTTATCAAAATGCGTAATTTTAGAATTCGGCAAAAAGTTTTAGGTTTTCTAAAAGTCATATAGAGAATTGAGTTTATGTGTGTGTGCTTTAGAGCCTATTGATTCGATTGGTATTAGACAAATTCTTCTTTCTACCCATTTTGCTGTTTAAAATAGTTCTGCTTTTGCTGCCTTACTTGACTTCAGTATGTAAGGCCACCACCTCATTACTGTTTGCTGGAATTCTCAAAGCCTGATTTTAAGATGTCCTAGAACATTTCATGTCCAGCAACTGCATAGACAGGAAAGTTTGATGTCTGTAAGGAAGCCTTGAACATGACATGCAGGAGCAAAGTTCCCACTGAACAGACAAAGTAAGAGCACTCTGCCAGCGGGCAGACTCGGGCTACCTCCATTTGGACACACGGGATGGCAGCACCCCAGTCCTGCCCTGCTGCTGCCCAGGCTGTGGCTGTGACCCAGAGCAGGGCTCCGTCCCAGCCTGCAGGAGGCACCTCTGGAGAGCTCCTGGACGTGGCAAGACTAGAGCTGACTTGCTGTTAAAAATGTATTGAGACCACAAACCGAATCTTGGAAGCAGGGGAGCATTTCAAGGACGTCACCCTCTGCTTGTAGGCTCAGAGTACCCAAAAGCCACCAGCCAAGGAAGCTTCTGTTTGTCATAGCAAGAAGCCTGAGGTCCCAAGGTTGGGTATTGTGACTGACAGAGATCACTGAGGAATTTTTCTCCTAAGGATTAGCATAAGAGCAGGGGGACTTCTTCTGGATTTACTTCATTTTAAAAAATAATAATTTGTAAATTTTTTAATAATCCAGGGTTTAAAATTCACATTGAAATTCCCTCTTAAAAAATTGATAAGCACAGCAGTACTGTATCTTGTTCAATATGCTCTTTGAGGTTGTATTATTAGCGTGAATTAATGCCAGCAGCTGCTCAGGCTATGTATCCCCTGTTACTACCTGCTGCTTTCTGCAGTACTGCTGTAGTTTCTGAACAGGCTTGAGTTAGGTGGAAAAAATACTTCTGCAGAATAAGGAACTAGTTTCAGGGGAGGAAGGACATGGCATATTGCATCAAGCAAAAGTCCATTTTTCTACTGTTTTTTGCTCACCTAAATCTGTGATCATGGCACACTACAGTTGTCCGTGTCTCTTCCAGGTAAGCAACAGGATTTTTTTTGTTCAGGAAGATGAGTGCTTTAGGAAATCTGATCCAGCTCTTTTGTGTTCTTGGGTGAGACATGAGTTTTGCAATTCAGTGAAATCTTCCTCTGGAGTTTGTTTAATTGGGTTCAAGGACTAAATGTTGCAGAAAAGATTGCAAGTGGGACATAGAGGAAAATTAGGATATTATAATGTGTTTCAGTTAATTTGATGTTTGTTAGCCTTACTTTGACAGGTCAAAACAGCCTTCTGTTATCACACTGCCAAATAAATTTTTGTAAGCTTTAAAAATATGTATTGATTTATTCAGATATTGATACAAATAATCTTAAATACTGGTGGAATCTTTCTAAGTAAACGGATAATTTTATATTACCTTTCCACATAGTATAAAATGAAACAGAAATAAAGTTAGCATTTGAATTATTTAACACGATACATTTTTATATATAAGCAAGTATGCAATGGGGAAATAGACTGTTGGATTCTGACCTGCAATTCAGCTATTTTTCTGCTGTGAGATATTAATATTTTAATATTCAGTATATATTTCCAAGTCAGATCACAGTGTTCATATTTGATTTTTATTCACTTCTCACTCTGGTGCAGTCTTACTGATTTCAATTTCAGCTTCCTGAGTAAGAAGCAAGTTGCAGTCAACATGGACTCAAGGTCTCACCCTTGGGATCAGACTCATCTTTTTGCTACACCCACTTACTAAGCATAATCATGTTTACTGATTTTTGTTTCAGAAACTTCCCAGTTTTGGTCCTTACCTGGAGCAACGCAAAAAGATAATAGCTGAAAACAAGATAAAACTGAAGGCACAGAATATGGCTGCTGAGCTTCCTGAGAAAAAACACTTTGTTCCAAAGAAACCCATTCCAGCAATCAAGGTAACAAAAATACATGCATAAGAAGTGATAGGCAGTTGACATGCACAGTCATTTTTAGCAGTTTGAGTTGGTTATTATTGCTTTTAAGGTTGTTAGAGGGCATCAAAGACAACTCTTTATGCAGACTTTCTAGCTTTTAACCAAAATCGATGGGAAATGATATTTCCCTATAGGTATTTCCCTAATGTCATTTTTCAGAATTAAGATATTCAGGCAATGGATCAGTAGTTGCAGATCAAGCAGGGGTGATGCCTTGAAGAACAAAGCAGAACTGTTTAGGATTTCTTTCAGTTTGGATGCTGCAGTACGAGCTGTTTTGCATGATACCTTTTGATTACATGTGCTGCACTAAATGCCTCCATCCCTCATGTAGGATCGATGGCAAAGGCTGGTGTTCAGTACATATAAAAGCTGTGTCATAGGTTTAGAGATTGAACTTTTAAAGCTGGAGAATGTTTGTCTAAGTAGCTGATCCACCGTCTACAATGAGTAAATGTCAAGATAAAAATAAAACCTGTGACCCCTATCTACTGCATAATCCATACATTGAAGCTTTTCCCTTCCCTTAGGTAGTCAATAAATATCAATAAAATGAAACGGCATGAGCTAATTATTCTAGGTGTTCACTTTAGAGCTTACTTAAACTTCAAGTCTGAATCGGAAAAACAATTTTTTTTTTAATTAGGATTCTCATGGAGACCATTGATAAAGCAAGATGAAAATTATATCTGTTGACTGTCTTCTTCATATATGGGAGAATATCAGATATCTACGTGAGCAGACGTGTAAGAATTCTTGAAAAAATAAGGCCAAACATAAAATAGAACATGAGCTGTGGCTCAGAAAACCACATAATTCCCAAGAGAATTTTGCAGTTTACTGATACATCCAGTATTCCAAGCTAACTGGTAGGATGGCAGAACCATGGATAGCAGACAAGGAAAAATTTTGAATCGTCTTCCTGTTTAAGTTAATTAGTTTGCCACCTCTGTAGACCTCTCTCAGGTTTCTGGATTGCTTATTTTGGTTTATGTCACACTTTTGAAAACCCCTCCCATCCTCTTGTGCAGAGGTTCTCTTACACACACACACACATACACACACACACACACACACACACACACACACACACACACACACTGAGTTCCAAAGAACAGCAATTACTCTTTTTTCCTCACTATGATGAGCATTTTCAAAGCCAGCTTGACCTCAGAGATTTCATGGTTCTGTTCTCCTTGCAGGAAAAGTATTGATGTAGGGAAAAAGAGAAAGAAGAAGCAACAGCCGATAACTGCATTTTCAATGAGATGGCTTGCTTCTGAAAAGAGCAGAAAACCAAAAAACTGGTAACCATCCAAAAGCAAGTAAACTGAATGAAGGGAAAAGTTTAGCAAAAGGGAAAAACAGACATGAAGACTAGGGGGAAAAAAAAAACATTAAAAAATTGAGGTCAATAATTTATTATGCCTAACTCCAAGTAGAAAAGCAAAGAAAGATCCAAGTAGTAGGAGATAGATTAAAAGGCAGAAAAAAGAGCCCATTGCAGAGGAAGAGGAAAATTAATTCCCCCAAACAGAAACATTTGTTTACACAGGTATTGAATACTTCTGAGTGGTGTCTGAGGAGCTTCTCAGCCAGAGAAATCTTCCTCACCCTGAAGCCCTTACAAGAAGACAGGCACTGCCCAAGCTGACTCCTGGCAGTATTTCAGTCTGACCATCTCTTTCGAAGGGAATGTTCTCACCATAATGACTAAAACAGCAGTGAGAGGTGTTGAATTGGGTGTGCATGGCAAGCTCTGATAGAGGTGGGGCTGCAGGGGTGGCTTCTGTGAGAAGCTGCTGGAAGCTCCCCAGGGCCTGACAGAGGCACTGGCAGCCAGCTGCAGGACAGAGCCTCTGCTTCTGTTGGTAACACTGGAGTGGCTGCGTATTCCACACCACGGCTGATTCATTGGAACAACAGCACTGCAGCAGCGGCAGCGCCGCTGGGGGAGAAAAAACAGCAATTTCAGTCACAGGGAGGAGTGAGAATATGGCCTCTTCAGGGATCTGCTTGATAGAGGATTATGAAATAAAGCACTAGAGGGAAGAGAGGCCCAAGCAAGCTGGTAATATCCAAGAATCACCTGTTCCAAGCTCAGGAGTGATGCACCCCAACAAAGAGGAAGTCAGGGGAAAATTCCCAGAGGCCTGCAGAGCTGTACAGAAGCTCCTGGACAAACAGACACAGCAAAGTGCATCCCTCAGAGAGTGATCAAGATGATCAAACAGCAGGAGCACCTTTCCTGTGTAGGCAGACTGAGAGACTTGTGGTTATTCAGCCTGAAAAAGAGAAGGCTCTGGGGGCACTCTAGACTCCCTTCCTGTACCTAAAGGAGAAGATAGTTTCCCTTGAAAGAGCAATGACCCCTGCATTGTCTGGTTGTATTTTTGGGGGGTTGCTACAAATTTCCTGATGCCTCCCCAAAATTTCCTCATCCGTCTAATTGGCTCTTGGGTTGGTGATATGTAAATTCCAGCACTTATATAAATTCCACATGCTGTCAAATTGCCATTTATTTGTTAATTTAAAACCCCTCTGTGATTATCCAAAATCTAATTTATTTTTGATGTCTTTTCCCATGGCTTTTCTCTTTATTTTATCTGTTTTTCAATATTAATTGAAACTCCATATTTTGATATTTGGCAGAGTTGTTTATTCTTTTCTCACTTGTATGTAATATTAGAAATTGTGCTCTATGTGGGTATGTGCCCTGGATCTTTTCTTTTCAGTTGCAGTTTTGTACAGCACACACAGATGTATTTGCCTACCTCAGGTTGCCTCCTTATTGCTTTAATTTCTTTCCTATATGATCCTGTGTTTTTCTTCCTAATAATTTTGGTTTTTGTCCTTCGGGGCCTATACCACAATACTCAGTCACCATTTATCTGCTTATTTTATTTCCTCCTTTTTCTTATTCCGGAAGGCTTGCTGTAGAGATTGCTTAGTAGTTCAAACATTCTGGCATAGCTCTCTTAGCTAGGGCATGACATGCTGTTCCACCTGCTGGAAAAATATCCACAAAGATCCTCCAGCTCAAATTCCTTTTGTTTGAAAATTTTTTCACCCTTGTTGGTACAGATACATTTACATGGTCTTTTGCACATACATATATGCAAGTCTTTTTTTGCTGCTGTGTAAGTACCTGTCTAAAAGCCAGCACTGCAGGAGGCATTAGCCACATTTAGTCCAGTGCTGTGATAAATCCCTAAAAGCCTCTTGGGAAGTGAGGAATATTGAAGTAAGGACAGCTCTATTTTGCCATAACTATTTTGTACCATTTGGATCCTTCCTGGCATGTATCAGTGTGTTTAACATGAGTAGTTTTACCTTGTGCTTGCCTGCCTGAAAAAGGCCATATTGTAATCTTCATCATAAATGTGGAGATATTACATATTTCAGGTGGATCTATGCGTCTTCCCTAATTTATGGGGCTCTAAGGCTGCTTCTCCCAAATACATACTCAAACATGAATCACAGAAATAATCTCCCCTGCAATAGCCCCTAATGGTCTCGTCTCGTCTCGTCTCGTCTCTTCTCTTCTCTTCTCTTCTCTTCTCTTCTCTTCTCTTCTCTTCTCTTCTCTTCTCTTCTCTTCTCTTCTCTTCTCTTCTCTTCTCTTCTCTTCTCTTCTCTTCTCTTCTCTTCTCTTCTCTTCTCTTCTCTTCTCTTCTCTTCTCTTCTCTTCTCTTCTCTTCTCTTCTCTTCTCTTCTCTTCTCTTCTCTCACCTCAGAGAATATTCTTATTATATATAGTGGTTAAGTAAATTTTAGTCTTTAGATATGGGGAGAAATCCTAGAAATCCAAACTTCCTCTTTCCCTCCCTGCTCTGACTGTGGCAGAAGGACTCCTGAAGTGGCTCAGCAATATAATAGAATAGAAAAAAATAATTTCAGTTGGAGGGGACCAGCAATGACCATCTAGTCCAACTGCTGGACCACTTCAGGACTGACCAAAACATAAAGCATGTTGTTAAAGACATTTGTCCAAATGCCTCTTAAACACTGACAGGTTTTGACCACCTCTCTGAGAAACCTGATCCAGTGCATGACCAATCTCTCAGTAAAGAAATGCTTTCTGCTGTCCAGTGTGAACCTCCCCTGGCACAGCTTTGAACCATTCCTACATGTTCTATCACCGAATACCAGGGAGAAGAGATCACAGCTCTCTCTTCATTTCCCCTACCCAGGAAGGTGTAGAGGGCAAACTACAAACTAGACAAGCCCAAAGGCCTCTGTTGCTCCTCATTCCAGCCCTTTCCCCAGCTTTGTTGCCCTGCTCTGGATGCGCTCAAGTACCTTCACGTGGTTCTGAAGTGGTGGGGCCCAGCACTGCAGGCAGCCTGCCAGGTGAGGCCGGGCAGTGCTGCCCACAGTGGGATGCTGGCCTCTTTTGGCCAGCTGTGTCATGTTTGCTGTGCCCCAGGACACAGCTGTGACCCCTGGGCTGTCCATGTGTGCAGCTCTCTGGCCACAGAGAGCAGGCACAGACTTTCCCTGGCATTTCCTGGGGAAGGCTGTGAGAAGATCAGAGAAAGAATGAGAAACAATTCTTATCTCCACTTGCTGCACCTGCTGTTGTGCACATGTGGAATGTGTCATGGAGATTTGTTTACCAAAGGGTGATTTCTTGATTTGCCAATGGTGATGGTGTTTGGATTAAAAGACCAAGTAGGTAAAAGCTGTATTGGACTGGCTCTAAGGGTTACTGAGCTTCTTAATAAGTATAGTATAATATAGTATAAGATGATATAATAAAGCGATTAATCAGTCAATGCTTATTATTACCTGGCTGGGGGCCTGTGGTGACAGTCCAGGCACAATGCTGACCCACACCAAGCTGTGCCTAGCAGCACCCCCAGATCCCTTCCTGCAGAGCTGCTCTGGTTATATTTCTGCCTGGTGTTACTGTCTCCTTAGTGCACAATCTGGCATTTGGACTTGTTAAATTTCATCCCGTTAATCACTGCCCAGTGCTCCAGGGCACTGTGGTAACACTGCAATGACTGCATATTGCACATCATGGCTGATTAATTGCAACAACAGCACTACAGTAGTTATGGGGGCTAGTTAGTTTGCCTCTGATCAGGACAGTTCCATGAGATGTCAGTGGTGTCTCCTACCCTGTTTTCTCTTACAGCTTTCTTTAATCTAGAATGTATCTCTTGGCAAGATCAGCAGAAGTTACTTACTTTGATAAGCTGCTTGTCGAACTGCATTTTTTCACTGTGATAGTACCTGTTCATCTAGTTTTATAAAATACCTACAAGTTCCCTGGATTTTAATTTAGTTTAAATGAAAACTTGTCTCAACTCTACAGTCTTCTGGTTCAAAGCTTTTCCTGAAACACACTCAAGCATATTAAACAACATCATAGCTAAACCAGAAAATTGAGACACTTTGTTCTGCTAATACTTTACCTTTTTTGAACATTGATCACTGTATTCCAGCCCTTTATGTTTTGCTCTGTTTAGCCACTTCATGGCTAGTTAATTTCGGAGCTCTCTTGTGTCATAGGCCTCTGTCAGAGGTCTTGTAAAACACTAAAATTATTGGGGTTTTGATTTTTAAGAAGGACTTTTTTGAATTTATTACTTCACAATCTTCATAAAGAAATGTGATCAGTACAAGAAGCATAATTTTCATTATAGAAACTATATTGAATTGTGTCACAAAGCTTCATTTAAGTGGACAACACTCACAGGCAAGCAATGTCATTTTTTGTGATTGTCCCGTGTTCAGCCAATAACTGGACTCAATGATGTGTGTCCCTTCCAGCTCAGGATATTGTATGATATGGTATGATTCTGTGATTTGAATTATTTTCTAAGGCCCACTTTAGCTAGTATTGCAGCTGTTATACTGAAAATAAGGCTTAGAGATCCCTAAATCTCAGAGTACCTTTAGTAGCCTTTTTTAAGTATTGGCAAAGTGTCTGTAATGTTTTGAGAAAAGTTAGCTTCATATATATTTTTTAAGCTACTTCACTGTAAATTGACCTCGGTCATGTACCCTCAGATTCTGGTAACTTTTTTTATTCTTTAATCCATAGTTTTATTTCTAATGTTTCTTCTTTTCATCCCTCGCTCTCTGACTATGCCTCACCTTTATTGCCAGAAAACATCAGGTGGAAGGCAGGTACTTCCCTAATGTGTGTTCCCTGTGACTTGCTTTATGACATGCAGTACCTGCACTGAGTATGGCTTTCTAATCAGAGGCCTGTGATGTTCATCATCTGTAGAACACAGCGTGGTCTTTTACAAAAGCATCTGCATAAAGATGGACACAGCAGGTCTACAAGGATCAGAGCTGAACCGTGAATTGTATTTACAAATAGAGATTTACTATTATGATGACTAATGAAAAGCTAATCATCATAAAATGGTTGATTCATTAACATTAAAATGCACCTATTGTAGAATTGCAAAACTAATATCCTGCTGAACAGATCTTCTCCTTGTGTATACTCAAACTCACATCTATTTAGCTTAGTGACAAAAAGAATTTTTTTTCTGTATTCATTAGTAACATAAAACTAATGGATTCTCTGATTCTCTCCATAGCAACTGAATTCCCTGACAGTTCCAGCTGCAGGACTACATTCCTTTCCCAGTTTTTTCAGTTATGTTGAGAAGAGGAGGAGAGCACAGTAGTAATCAAAGAGAGTACTCTAGGTCTCTGCTGTCGCAAAGGTGCAAATTTAACTTCCAATTTTGGTTTTTTTTTTGGTTGTTTTGTTTTGTTTTTTAATTGCTTCTGCTAATGCATAAGCCAGAAAGACCACAGCCTGACTTTCAGAACCTGGCTTCTGTTTGCAGGTCTGGTAGTTGGCAAAAAAAAAAAAAAAAAAAAAAAAAAAAAAAAAAATTAATCTATAAATGGTGGAAATTTGATCCAGGGGCCATTGAGATATACAAAGTGTGGAATCCCATAGTGCCATTTTAGACAGTTGCTTTTTGGAGTGAAACTGCTTTAAACAGTGAAAGCTGATTATTTTTTGCTGCACTGTTTATTTTGTTCCAAGCATTTATGATTTGAGAAAACAAGAAGCTCTGAGATGCTGTAAAAGAGTGCACCTGCAGAACATCTTTTAAGTACCATTGCTTTTTTAGCCAATAATATCTTGAAACTTTGCAAATGAATAAATATGTAGTCTTTGCTTGAGAGAAAGAAGAGATTAAAAGACACAACACCAATGAGTGTAAATGAGTAGTAAATCTTTGACACAGTCTTTTGAAATCACTTTCAGGCCTCTAAAGTGCCATCATGCTCCCTATTTGGGATTCTAAGTTCCCAAAAGTGTATTTTTGAGAGCTGTGAGAAGTGAGACTTGGTTAAAAATGCTGAAATCACCATGCCTTATGCATTGGTTTTGTTATTCCCTTTGTAAGTTTGTAGCTGGAAAAAATCAATTTTGATTGTGTTGTTTCAAGCAACCATTTCCTGAGCTATCTAATGCTACCCTAAACCTTGGACTGTCTCCCCCATCTTCTCCAGCTGTTTCCCTGGAAGGGCATTAACCACTTCACTCATTTCCCATTTAAAAAGCCTTTTCTAATTTCTAGCTTTGAATTTATTCATGGCTGGCTGACAATCGTGTGTTCTTGTGCCAACATTTTCATTTAACTTAAATAGCGCTTTTCCCTCCCTGATGTGTATATATAGAGAGACATTATATTCCTGCTCTGCCATCAGCTTCCTAGGCTAAACATCTTGTAAGGCTCTTTTTGTCTTCTCTCATAAGCAAGACACTCCATTCCACAGTTACTGGAGTAGTACATCTCTGTAAACTACTTGAGCTCTGTGGGTTTTGTTAACACCCAAACAATATTTAAAGAATATAAATGTCAATCTAGAACCTCCCTGAGAAAATTACCTATGCTTTCTACACAGATGGTTTTTTAGACTGTAAAGCTCTTCACTATCAGGAATCTCCCATTCTTTATCCTTTTGCAACACAGGCAGGCAGTGGAAAGCTACTCAATTGTATCTTGTGCAGGTTTTACATAATTTCTTTCAATTCTTGAGCACACAGCTCATCACTTGCAGACAATGTGGATTTGTGGCAGTGGAATGTTCGAGGGCTGTATACACACAAGAGAGGCTCAAGGATGCTTAGTGTTGCTGGGGCCAGCAGATCACACAAAAACACATGTATTTTGAAACCTGTAGCAGGTTAAAAATTCAAGGCTTGTCTGTGGATAACATGAGAGTTGAAACAAACTGGAGGTGAAGTCTACCACTACAGTATTTCAGCTGACACAGAAGACTGCAGACACAGAAAACCGCTGTAAATCCAGTAAATCTATGAATTTTTCTGATTAAGAACTGGAAATGAAAAGATGGAGGTGTAAGCAGTTCCTAGGAGATCACATTTTATTTAGTTACTGTAGTTCATCAGTGGAGTAAAGGGCACAGTAAAGGGCTTCATGTTCAAGCATGGTTCTAGTAAAATGCATTAGCCAGAACACTTTCATAGTAGTTAATTGACCTTTTACAGTAGTTTAAGCAAACAGATTTTACTTCAAATTTGCAGTGATTTTGGGCCATGCACAAAATCAGCTTGCACAGCTCGAGTGATGAGTGTTAACTCATTAAGCTGTGATAACTTGTTCACAGTCATCTGTCCACACTCATCATGCTGCCTTTAGCAAAGTGCCATAGCTGTTTTATGCTGAAAGAGCATTAATGTTCTCTGCATGTTGTTGAGAAGAACTGGAAGGCTTTTAGTATTGAATGAATGCAACAAGGTATTTCACATGGCAGCAACTATGGGGTTTGGCAGAGAGAAAACATTTGAGTGTTTTTGGAACAAGGAAACAGTACAATGTGCCAGTCTTACTTCCTGGGCATGGGATTTTTTTATTTTCTAGCCCAACAGTCACTAGGAGAAGCTTCATACATCCTAATACTGCATCCAGTGAAGAAATCTGTCTCTGCATAAAGATAGGATTGTACAAGTGCTGTAGACCAGGTAGACCTCATTCTTTCAAAAAGTAGTGTTGGGTTTTCAAGTTCTTAGCAGACTATGAAGATAAGGTTGGACTCATTTCTGCATTTAATATATGTAGCAGAGCTTTCCTTTTTGGTGTATGCTCTGCTGGCATATGCCTTTTGCAGCACTGATATGTAAGGTTGATGCAGCAAGTTCCTATTTGTGAAGTTAACAGATCTTGCAGGATTAGACCCAGAACTTACTTCTGTGTAGTATTTGCAATAAATTTATGATCATGTCATTTGTGAACCTTGCTAAAGAGAGAAGAGCTATTGTTCTCTCTGAGTTTTTTCTTTCCTTGCTGTCAGTTCTTAAATCTGTGCTAGTGAGAAATGACCAAAGATGATCTGATAAGATCATGTCACTCTCATTGACATTCCATTTTGTTCCTTGAAGTTTCACCCAATCATGGCAAAACAACAGCACATACAAAATCAAGTACTAAATGTGTAACCTATTTGTAGAATGTGTTTGTACACAATGTATACTTGTAGTACTGCCTACATTCAAAATGTGCCTGTATGGAAAATGCTTTGTATTTTACAGGGGGCATGAAGGTCAGCCATTTGGAAATTTATAAGAAAAGTCCTAAATCTCATCAAAATGCATGGCCAAATCTTCCTCATTGAAGTACTAGAGAGCGCTCCAGTGCAGCTGCAGAGACTGCCTAGGTATCTTATAAACGAGTCAATAACTTTTTTTTCCCCCCTAGGATGTAATTGGAAAAGCACTGCAGTATATTGGAACATATGGTGATCTGTGCAACACAGAGCAAGTTGTGGCTCTGATTGATGAGGAAATGTGTATCAACTGTGGCAAATGCTACATGACCTGTAATGATTCTGGCTACCAGGTAAGAGCACAGCTGTAATTAGCAGAAAGGCACAATGAGTTATCTTTCTGCTGCTGGGAAGAAAGAATTCGCCTTCTGTTAATGAGCAGGTGGTAAAAGCAGATGCTTAAATGTTGAATTCAAAGCCCATCATGCTCCCAGGCTCTGGCTCAGAAGCCAGTCCAGACCATGGCTGGTCCTGCGAGGCTGCACAGACCACGTCACTGTCCCAGGGCCCTGACTGCAACTGCGGTTCTTGCTAAGGGGAAGAAATCAAGAAGCCCCAAGTTGAATGGCAGTAAATGTAACTCTTGATGGTTTTCAGGTTCATGAGGGAGAAAGGGAAGAGCACATCCCTTCCCACCAGAGGGATGTGGGGAAACATGGGCTGGTCTTATTGCCAAATGCTTTTTAAGAAACCCAGGTCTTGTTCCCTCAGAGTAACCAAACTAACTCAGGTTTCAGGCAGATAGGGTTTTCTTTTGATCTTGATTGAGTTATAAGTCCTTTCTCCAGGAAAACTGCCAGGGTTTTTTGAGCAGGAGGTTGAAGCTTGCAGAAATCATTGTGACCAGAAAATGGCCCAATTTTGAGCTGAGGATCCTGTTTGCAGCAAAGTATTTCTCTGATTGCTCAATATGGGAGCAAGCTGTATGAAATATATCAGCATGTCTAGGTGCCATTCCATGCCATGTCCACTGGAGGTGATGGACTGGTCTGCAGTAAAAAAGACAGTATCGGAGAAAGAAAATCAAAATATGGCCTAGCATAACTTTCATGGAATCCAATATGCAGCAAGCAGTAATTTCTGCATGGATGTTTCCATACATCTTAGTCTGAGAAGAGCTTGTTAAAAAGACTTACTTTAATTGAACACCAAGTGTCCTCTGGATACCCTGAGTTTTTGTTTGTCTTGAATTCAGTCTAACCAATAATAAGTCTGATGACTTGTATTTCATAAAGTCGCAGAAAGAAGTCCTCCATTGCAAATCAACTGCATTTAAAAGAAGTATGTCAGAGCAAAGGTTTTTTCCACTGATACAAGAAAATTAATGGTGTTTTTTTCCCCAAAAATAGATTACTACAGTAGCCTTTTAACTGTCTAAATTTCTTAGTGACATTGCAATCTTCACCTTTCCCCTTACATCAGATTTATCAGGAGAATTATATTTTTCATATTACCCATAGAGAGCATAAGATTGGATTTAGATTTAGTAAATTTTATTTTCTGTAACTGGAAATAAAAATCAGCACCAAAAGAACCAAAGTTTAAACTCCCAGAAGGTTTTCTAAGCACAAAAGGAAAATGCTTTTTCCTTATTTAATTAAGGAAATCGAAAAGAAATTAATTGAACACAATTGCAAAGGAATTCTTAATTGCAAGTAAATCAACAACCCCCCTCACCTTCAACACAGCATCTGCTTTATGGTTCCCTTTGTTTCAGAAATATCCATGCTGCTCTACACAGCTGTCACCTTGTATGACTCCAGCAGAAAAGCTTGCCTTAATTTAAAGTCAGCACTGTAGTCCCGACTTCCTCTCCCTCTTTGAAGTCCCTTTCAAGATGTGCATTGTTGTTAGGGAGAGAGAAAGAAAGGAGTCCTCCTTAAATACTCACGAGCCAGAGCTCTCTTTGTGCTCAAGCTAAAGTAAAACTCAGAGATCCAGAGCAGGCACTACAGACTTCGTGCCCTTGCTGGTTGCTACAGCAACTTCTGTGCCTTCCTAGCACTGAAACCCCAAATGCCTCAAATCTGCCTTAGGAGCCAACCTGCAGCAGCGCCAGTACTTCCCATCACCTCCCTGCCTCTCCCAGAAGCTGACAGTGGTCAGGGAGATTTGCTAAGGCTCTGCTTGTTTGCCAGAGTTCAACTTTCAGGCTTGATTTTCGCTCCTAAACTCTTCAAAGTGGACATTCAGTGTTTCTGGTGCTTTTTAAAATTTTTAACTTTTCTAGTCTTGCTTCTTAGATATTGACACTTTGCAGTTGCATGAAGCTTTTGTTTTTGCTTTTAATTGCCATTTCCATTATAACCAGAAGCTTATATCATTGAGACTGCAACTGTTATTTCACATTCAAATACACTTATCACACTAATTGGTAATGAGGATTCACTGCGTGGAATGTGAGAACAGAGCAAACTCTGCCTGTCCCAAACTCTGATAGTCCTTTCAAAGATTTGCAAAAAAAAGTAATCACACGAGACACAATAAGCTGTGTTTTTCTATGCTGTTTATTAAATTAGATTGTTTATGCAGTGCTGAAAGTAAAAGTCAAAAGAATGCCTTGTGATAGGCATTGTGCTGAAGCTGTACAGGTGTGGTCTGGTGTCTCCTCTAAACTAATACCCCAGCACATTGCTACCTTAGGAAATACTTCCTTTACATCAAGGAGAAATACCCTCTGGGAATTTAAATATTGTGGTGCAAACTCCTCCTTTTGTAACCAGCCCCTGTGGCCCGTGAGCCTTTGCCGAGGTGTAATTTGGCTCACCTCTCTAATTTCAGTGTCTGGAGAAGGGTTGTTTTTGTTCCCTGCCAGTGGAACAGTTGCTATAGCTGCAGTGCAGAATCACACCGAGATGTCTCGGAGCGTTGCGGCGCAGGAAATGCAGACGCTGGAACGGGAGCAATGCTGACCTTTCCCGCGCGTGACATCAATAATGTTTATTCCTGGTTGCAGGCTATCCAGTTTGATCCCGAAACCCACCTGCCCAGGGTTACTGACAGCTGCACAGGCTGCACCCTGTGCCTCAGCGTGTGCCCTGTCATCGACTGCATCCGCATGGTTTCCAGGACAACCCCCTACGAGCCCAGGCGCGGGCTGCCCCTGGCCCTGAACCCCGCGCGCTGAGGGCAGCTGCACCTGCTTGGATGCAATTGATTTGCTTGCTAATTAGTCCTTGCAAATCTACTCCTATAAAAAAATGGTTACACCGATAGATGGTACAGCGAACACTGCTTTCCAATTACTATTTTTGCAACATTTAAGTTTGGAAATTACAGAAAGGTGGTCGCGGCTGTCAGTTGTCCACTGTTTGAAGTGTAACTTTCTTGTTACAATTCATGCAGTGATTTCAAAACTTCTCTATAGACTCTTTAATCTCTGTGTATTTTCTGGCTGGAAATATAATTAAGAAAGCATTTTTAATGAACTACAAATCAATGTACAAGCTAACTGTTTTCAAGGAGAGCATTTTGTAATTAAACATTACATTTAGTTTTAAAAGAGTTTCTTAGAAGATGTAATTAACTACATAGCATGCAAACAAAGCAATGTGGCTTCTATTTTTCTATAGACAGAAATGAAAGGGAGTTAAAAATAGGATTTAAGAACTGGATTAATCACTTTCAACTACTACAACATATGGTAGTGTATTTTTATAATCCTTTCTAATTCTTTTTCACACTAGTCACTTTATAGAATAAATCTGCTTTGCACTGACACATGCTGGACTCTTCAGATCTGTGTGTTGCATGGGTGGTTTGATCATTACTTTCCCCACTAAGTGAACGCTTATAACAACTCTGCAAACAGTCAAAATAGCTTATTAGGAAGTCCAGGTTGCGTATCAGGATTCTAAGAAGCAACAACATTTTTTGCTCCAAGCTCATCCTCTAAATAACTTTTTAATTGTGCCAATTAATGTCCCAGAATGTACATGTTTCAGGTCAGAGATCTGATTGCATGCAAACGGACTACACACCCTGCAGGCTGTGTTTGCCAAACACAGACACACAGGGTAAATTGGCAAGGTGATTTCTCCCAATGCTGTGTACAGTTCTAGCGGTTTCACAGCCAAAAATAACTAAATAACTACAGAATCATCTGTCTTATTAAACAGTATCTCAATTTTAATCCATTTTTCACTCACAGTAGGAATTTTCTAATATGAACATATTGCCGTCTGCTTTACCCGCTTAAGAATATAAAGCCTTTCGTTTCATAACAATAATAAATGATCTATCAGTTCAATTTCTTATACCGTATATTGTGAGCAGCAAAAGCTTTGATTAAAAAGATATCCTGGCTTTTGTTTCTTGACTTATGAATTGAACACTGAATTATAAATAAATGTTTAAGCCAACTTGGGTTTGTTTGTGATTTTTCTTTTTGCATTTATTAAACAGATTTTCTTTGTAGAGCCTTTTCAGTTGGTGTTTCATAATCTCTAAGATTCACTCCAGGAACCCTTAATGAGTTAACTCATATGTATGTTGTTCCATTGATTGCCTAGAGTGCAGAATATATCATGCTCTTTGCCCCTCTCTGGCACCTTTCTGTCTGCCTTTTACTTGCCTTCCTTTCAGCTTCCTTCCCCACACACATAATGTAAATTTGAACATTTTCAAGTGTCATTTCATTTAGTGTCCTTGCTCCACTGTATTGCTGGTGCTTTGGGCTTGCTTGGCAGGCTCAAGTCCAGTAATAGTTTTCTTTTTTTATTTTAATTTTCCTGTTTATCATTGTGGATTTTTCAGACTCAGGTGAAACAGGAACAGACAGTCATACTGCTTAGGAAACATTTGCTTGCAACTTCTTTAAAGCTCCTAGTTTTGCAGTAGTTTCTTATCTTACATGAGCTACTGTGGACTCACAGGGAGAACAAGTTGTTTTGTGAATGTTGGTGACAAAGTTTGGAGAGTCTCTGCATGTACTGCTTGTCCCTCTGCTGAGGAACTGCCTAAGAAGCAGCATGCCCTTGAGTGGGGCAGAAAAAGACATCAAAATCAGATGGTCTGAAAATAACATTTTATCTTCTCAGACAGCAGATGCAAGGAAAGGTAGCTGTCTTCTCACAGGCTGTTACCATGTACTTCTTATTCTACATCCTGCCTACCACGAGCCCTGTGGGTGAGAGGGGCTGTGTCACCTCTGGCTGAGCAGGGCAGCCTCTGCAGGTTCCTGCATCCCCAGACCCAATTATCTTACTGTCCTGAAGGTATCACATCTGGTAGGGTGGTTTCTTTGAAATACTGGACAATGCCAAGAGACCTAATTTAAGTAAGCACAGGTACC